TTAATATTAAAAATCATATTAATTGTATTCATATGATATTGGACTGATTAATAGACTAAGTAGATGTAAGATAGGACTAGACACAGCTTTAATCCATGTTTTGGTTCTAACCTTCCCACCTCAAATAATTTTAGGGACATTGTTTAGCGTTCTCTGCTTAGGTTCCTGACCAGAAATGAGCACATTGTCTATCAACTAGTGAAATCTAAGGAGTAAGATTAATTAAAATTTGTATGAGCTTATATAAAAAAAAAAGTATTAATATGATTACTATCTACAAAGTATTTTGATCAGGTCTGAACTACCTACCATGGGTTAGTAATTGTGCCTTTGGGTTTCATAGTCAGGCATAATTAAGTGTAACTTTTGTTTATTCATAAACATAGCAAGAACCTTAAGACGGACAAATTAGCCCTACATATGTTATTTTCTATATGAAGTTAAAGTATTTCTGAAGTGGAAATTTTTAATTAATTTTGAGGTCTTGACTTTTCTCCACAAAGTTCCTTTTGGTTTAGTTTCCTTTAACCCTTCCCCTTGGGGAGCAGTTGTGAAAATAGATATTGGCTGTGGTGGATAAGGGGACCAAAGATGGCTGAATGAAGAAAGCCAAGTTGGAATGAATTAAGATGGTTTTACAAAGGAACACAGAACAACATTGTTCCCTCAAGAATGACTGTATGTACAAAAACAGACTCATAAATATAGCGGACAATTTGGTGATGGACAGAGGGGGTTGTAGGGTTGGGAGAATGGGGTGAAGGGTTAAAGAAGTACAAATTAGTAGTTGATAGATGGTCACAGGGCTGGGGAGCACGGCATAGGGAATGCAGTTAGCATTAATATGTTGGCTAGGTGGAAAACCAGAGGAGAGAAGGAACAATTAGGAGGATTATTTTATAAACTATCCAACCAATGTACTGTATACTTGAAACTAATTAAAATGAAAAAAAAAAAAAAAGAATGGCTGTAGGTAAATGGGATAATATTTATCTACTGAATATAACCATATGCTTAGAAGAATTTATCACTGTTCTGTAACTCTTTCATATTCTTTCCCACATTTACTGTGACCAAATTAGAGGTGCACACTTTCAATAAACAATTATAGTAATCAATGCATGTGTAGTTCAGACTTGACAGTGGCGTTTCCACATGTGAATTCTCATTAACAGCCACCATATCAACTCATTGTAGGATAAGTTTGGCATGCAGGTTGCCTTGGATTCAGAGCAAAAAGTGCACCCAACCCCCTCCCTTATTAAAATGATTCCATCTGACTTGATGCTCGATTTGTGAGGCTGAAATCCCAGTGACATTGTCTCTCACTCTCAGACAGTGAGCTCAGACACAACAGTTGCTAAAAATTGTCTGCGTTGGAAGGTTAAAACTCACATTGTGCTCTCCTTCCTTTAAACAAACTTCTTTGCAGTATTCCAATGGTTGGCAAAACCAGTTCCCTCCCTACAACTGCAGAAGTGTCTTCCCTCCTTGAAGGAAGAAGAGGTGGTGGATTGAGACCTCAGACACCCTAGAGTTCCATACTTCACAATAGAGTGATGAGGTTGGGGCTTTTGTTATGGTCATTAACACATATACACGGAATTATAATATAAACCTAGAGACTATTGTGGAAAACAAACTTCATTGCCTCAGATGAATTTTTTTTGAATTTTTTAAAGAATTTATTTGAGCCAAACTGACAACATATGCCAGGGAGCAAGATCTCAAATGTTCCAGATGAATTATTTTAAAACAGCATAAAATCTGTGAACATGATTGAGGCACTAAAGGTATACAGGATCTGAATTTTCAGAGAGGATTAGCATGCAAAACAGTCGATATTTAAGGTGGCTGCATGCTTATGATTGACAGAAATGGCTAACCAAGCAGTAGGTCATGTCATTGCTGCTTAATTAGCTCACACACATAATAGTCCTTTAGTGTGATCGGTGAAACAAGCATAGAGGGGCCACAAGGCAGCAACTACTTTTTATTTTTAAAGCAAATATTAATCTAATAAATGGTTTGAAGCGTGCTGCCACAGTTTGATAAACTGGATGCAAAGTGTTTTTAATTTACACAGCTTCAATTTTAAGGACATCTTCTCAGATGCAATTGAACAACAACAAAAATCTGCCTTGACACCCTTTTGAATTACACTGTCCTGAGGCTGTAGCAGAAATTTAAAAATATAGGTGCTGCAAAGTTAATGTGACTGGCATTGGGCGGCTATCTCAGGGACACAAATGAAGCCATGTTCTCTGATAATGGAGCCACAGTAAGCGAAAATACCTTCCTAGGCAATTTTATGAAATGAGAACATATCCCAGTAGTCAAGGATTAGCAAGAAGTGGAGTGTCTTCAAATGCAAATTTCCTGACATTTCACAGCTATTAAAATAATTGCCCTACCTTGGCGAACTAATAATAACTTAGTTAAAGGTTTTATTTAGTATAACCAAATGTAATGCAAAAGGCAAGGACTCTGATAAACACTATTTCCATTTTAGGGCTTGCTAAGGGTGGATTTTCTTTCTCTTCTTCTCCCCCACCATGTCATAATGTCACAAGCAATTAGATGAAATTATTTATGTGAAATGGAAAGGAAGGAGTGTAAAGCGGTGCTGTGCACATCTGATGCCGCTGGCATCCCCATTATGAATACTGAAGAGAGGAGCCATGGTATCTTCATGAAGTAATTGTACTTTGAAACTACTGAACTGTCTTTTGTTGTGCTAACCAATTTTATTTAATGAATGCTTTAAAATCAGAACTGTTTCACTTTTATGTATCAATGGAAAAACTACATACAGAATCTGCAAAGCTTAAAGGAAACCTTTTGAAATATTGGCATGTCTTTGAATCTCTTAATATTCTGTATTGGGTATGTGGTAAGCACTCTGTGGAATCGAATGGAAAAAAAAAATAACCTAAAGGGATAGGAAACCTTTCGAGAAGAAATTTGGCAATATGAATCACATGCCATAAAACTATATTGCTTATTAGAATCAATAACTTAACTTCAGTAAATTTATGCTTAGAATCTTAAATACTGAGAGATGCCTTATGTACAGGGATGTTTATCACAATGTTATTTATAATAACAAAATAATTAAGAACAATTATTTCTCTTTTGTTGAGTATTTAGATAAAGCAAACCATGATGTATCAACTGAGTGGAACATGATACAGCCAATAAAATGATATTTGTCAAAACTAGAAAGCCATGCAGAACATTTATATGATGCAGTAGAAGTGCAAAAAGTCTGATATAAAATTGTGTGTGCCGCAGAACTGCCATTATAAAAAAATTAAGTAAGCATACATAGAAAAAAGACTGAGGAAACACGAAGGTGTTAAGGGCTGTGTTTGGATAGAAGTACAATGGGTAATTTGTTAATATATTTTTGATTTTTCAAATAATCTATAATTTTTAAAAATTGAATTTAAACACCCAACTCTTACGCTTAACAGTTTTACTGAATTAAACTCTTCTCTCTCCTAAAACCATTTTCTAAGTACACTTATGATAGCCACAAATGGGAAACCAGTCTGGCTGAAGTAAATAAACTCTAATTAATGTAGACCTTGCTATTTGAAGATTAACAGAAATTCACAGATCTGAGATTCTTACTGAAAAAAAGCCCCAAACAAGTAACATGTTAGGATTCCTTATTACGTAGTTACAATGCTTTGTTTCAGAGAAATAAGCATACAACAAATTGTAGTTTTTTGGTAATCTTATTTCAGTTAACTTTCTATATATAATTATGCTATTTGAAATTGTTTGTAAGGGCTGATATATAATATGTGAAAATGAAAAAGATAGTTAAATTACTTAACGTAATTAAACAAACAAACAAAACAAAACAAAGCTGATTTTATGAAATGAACAAATTGATTTGTTTCAGCAGATTAAGTTCAGAATACACTGGAACACCATCATTTGTTTATAATTAATTTTTTCATAAATGTAAACATTGATATGAAATGAATAGTTGAAAGGAAAGATAAGTAAACTTTGCTCCATCCACTATCATTTATGTAGCAAAACATCAAGAGGATTTTTATGTAATATTTTCTGGAAATTTTTTCTCTCTAAATGCAACCAGTAAAATTACATATAAAATAACTGACAGAATCAGTTATTTTGTGACTTATGAATGCAACCAACTATTTGTTTTATTTCTCTATGGACATTTTCAAACCAATGCTTTAATTAAAATGTTAATCACTCTTAAAGAAGAATCAGACATTATTGATTTCAAATGTCTTAAAATGTTATGTTATAATGATCAGGCTTATTCTAAAATGTTTTCTAATACATTTTTGATGTATTAAACAGGTTTTTTAATACAGTTTTTAAATAAAGTTTTTAAAAATACATTATTTAAAAAATATGCTTGATTCGTGGCTGGCTTTAATTTTAGATTCATTTGAAGATTCTCCATAAGAACATTTGGTACCTAGTATTTTTATGTACATAACTTCAAAATTACCAAGTTTCTAAGTTGGCCGTAGTTATAAACTCTGAAGATAAAGCACACTTACTATTTTGTAAGGGAAAGCAACTCATTATTTAACAGTGAGAAAGTAAGAAATACATTTTTTGTCTGATCGTAAGTGACAAAATATTAATTTCATTTTTTTAGATTTTATTTATCAATTTTAAGAGATAAATCGAATTGGTTTCATGGAACTACTGTTATTGTATTAATGATATGAATTTATATTTAATGTTTAATAAAAGCAAATAGGAAGCATTTATCTCTCTTATTTGTTAACACAAATTGCACTTAAGATTATGTAGTAAGCAATAAAGTGAAAACAATTTCTGACGTTCGATCAATCAATCAATCAATCAGCCTTTATTTAATGCCTACCATATATATTAGCCCTTTGAGATACAGTGGTAATTTGTTGACTTTAAACGTTCTCTTCTATAAATAGATTTTATGATAAGCAATTTAAAAGTAAACAAATATTCAAATAACTTACCTTTGGTTCCTTGAACTTGGAGAAAAATCCAAAAAACAAAAATAGCCCTTCTAGTTTCCAAATACATTCTGACTTTTGTGCATTGGTAGCAATCCGGTAACAATCACAGAACAGCCCCAAATATCACTTTAAAAATGACAGAAATATGAAAAATAATTAAATATTGATGCCAGCTGAGTGAGGATAACCTTCTTGGTTTATCTTTATGAAGATGCTAATTTATGAGGAACACGAAGCAGTGGCTGTTTCTGGAATAATCTGATTATCTTCCCATCAGGTGTAATCTCTGCTTAAGGGCCAGCTGGAGGAACCTTTATCTCATTAACCTCCTGGAAGAGCATCTGTCAGTCTAGCTCCAGGACTCTGAAAGCCATTATTAACAAGTGTCCATAGCATAGGCAGAAGGAATGCTTTTTTTCTTGGTAATTCACCTGTTACAGTGACACAGAGAGTCAGGGGAAGTCCTGCTAAATACAGAAGAAGGCTGATGGGGTCAAATGTTTCCCAAAATGACACGCACAAGGAACATCTACTGAGAGAGCTTAATTGCTGTCCTTGGAACTATGTGGCCATTTAATTCGTGTTAGCCTCCAGAGATGGCAAGGCTGTTTCCATCAAACGTATTGCATTGTAAATCGCCTTCTTTCTGGCATTACATACAGATAACTTTTTTTGGTTTAAGTCTGGTTTTAATTTTTTAAATTTGTTATTGATGCATACAATGTAAAAGGTCAAATAGTTCTACAAAGTTTGTAAAAAATAATGGTGACGTATCTCCCTTCAAAGGCATTCACATTTAATTCTTTAAGCCAATTCTTCTAGTATTTTCATTTATACCTGGAAATAGTATGTTTCTACTACTATTTTTTGATTTTTCACTTTTAGACATTATCCAAAAATGGGTATTGATAATATCTTCCCCTCCATACACATTTTCCCCACCCTTCATTAACATGTACTCATCTTATCTCACCATCTGCCTCAGTATTACTATATTTTCACTTTATTGAATATTCAGTTTAATATTATTGTGACTGTATACATGCTACATATAGCTGAGGCATGAATTATATTGTAATTACAAACATGTATTGGGCTCTTATATTGTGATTGATAGACACTATTCTTAGATATTTCCATAGATTTTTATATATATAACTCAATATATATATATATGTTATGAAGTAAGTACTATTATTATTATCTCTGTTTTATATTTGAAGAAACTAAGGTATATGTGGCAGAGCCAGGATTTGAATCCGAAGAGACTGCTTCAGGAGCCTATAATGTTAACCGCTGTCCTTATGATGTTTTTGCAGTTGTCTCATTTTTTTCTTTCATTTTCTACACACAAAACAATAAATTATCTCCAAATGTTATCCCAGATTTGTAAATTTCCTCTTCCAATGGTTAAACACTTCAGATAATCTGTCTTTCCCAAGACTTTCTTATCCCTTCCAGGCTGTATTGTTTAATTTCTTGTTAGTGTTCACAGCAGTCATCTGAAGATCTTTCTTCACAATCATCCTTGGAATTCTCTTCGCCTCTCTTGTGCTGGATCCCATGTTTTCCAGATCTCACGTTGCCTTCTTTCTTAACTTAAACTCTTGTTTTGGCAGAGCATATGTTCCAGTACATTACTGAAAGAAAGTTCTCAGTAGATAAATTTGAAATCTTATGTTTGAAAATGGTTTCCATCTATCCTCATCCTTGATTGATAGTTCAGCCAGTGCTACAGACTGAATGTTTGTGTCATATTTTGAAAATTAAACCCCAATGCGATGATATTTGAAGGTGAGATCTTTGGGAGGTGATTGGATTACGAAGGTGAAGCCCACATGTGAATGGGATTAGTGCCCTTGTAAAAGAGACATGGGAGAGTTCCCTTGCTGCTTCTGTCATGGAAGTACTGTGACAAGACGGTTCTCTATGAGCCAGGAAGCAGGTTCAGTCTATAGTTTTCTGTTATAGCAGCCTGAATGAATTATGAATTAAGACAACGGGATATAGAATTATAAGTTGGAAACAAAATTCACTTAGAATACTGAAGACACTAATCCATTGTCTTCTAGCTTCTAGTGCTGCTAAAATCTGGAGTCCTTTTTGTTCCTGATTCTTTGTGTAGGATCTTTTCCTCTCTAGAAAGTTTTCTTTGTTTCCAGTGTTCTGATATTATATAATGATCTTTCGGATTGTGGGTCTATTTTAATTCATTGTATGGAAGCATTTAGAGGACTTTTAATCTGAGTATTCATGTTCTTCAGTTAATGGAAACTTCATTTAACTATTTAATTTCCATCTTTTATTTTCTGCATTCTCTTTTTCTGGAATACATATTATTTGGATAGTGGCATGCTTTAATTAGTTCTTTAACTTTTAAAACCATTTTTTTCTTTTATTTTCCTCTTCCTCTTCCTCTTTATACTCTGATTTCTAGAAAATTTCTAAACAATCTTTAAACTAATTTTTGGTTTTTAAATGTCTACTGTCACATGTAATTTCTAGGAAATTGTGTCTGGTAGTTTCTGGAATTTTTTTTTTTTTGATTTTTGATTTTAATAAGATACGGTTTTACAATTTTAGGGATACAATTTCTTTTATCTCTTCAAAATAGTTAACAGATTGAAATTTATTCTCTTTTTAAGTAAAGCTCTGTTTCACCCAAGCTGAATTTTTAATTTCTTTTTTGTTCTCTAGCTTTTATTTTAGAAGCTGATATAATCCTTGATTGGCCATGAGAAAGCTCTGTGCATAAGATTGGAACTTGCCAACTGTGGTCTTCATTGTAGGTTGATCTAATTAGGATATTCTTCTTAGGGTTTCCAGATAAAATACAGGATACTCAGTTAAATTTAAACCTAAGATAAATAATAAGTAATTTTTAGTATAAATATGTCACAAATATTGCATATGACATACTAAAAAATTATTTACTTACCTAAGATTCAAATTTAACTGGGCATTCTATATTTTTATTTCCTATATTTGGCAACCTTCTTTCTAGAACATTTGAAGTAAGTATCTTTAACTATTTCCTCTTCAGGTGGTCAGATATACCAGAAAAGTCTACTAATCTCTTGATATTAGGATATAGACTGACTTCCAAAGTATCGGTACATGAGCTGAGAAAGAGGTCTGGGGCCTGAGTCTTAACATCCTTTTGAATATTTTAATTTAATCTTTCTGTTTTCAGAGAAATATCCTCACTTTCAAATCTGCCAAATATTTAGTAGTCTAGAGAATGTTTCACCTTGCTGGAAAATAAACCTTCAGCCTTCTGTCGAGTGGCCAAGAGGCAGTTACACAAATGAAGGGAATGGGAAAGGGGATTTGGAGCTCTAAGTGATTATTAGCTATTTCAATTTATCCTTCTATTTTTTACCCCATCCTTCCATTAATTTGCTCCCATTTCCTGAAGTACCTAGTATCTGGCATGTCATATATATATAAATTAGGTTGTTTCTGAGCTTTCCCTATTGGCAGTTTAACATTCATTTTTCTAGATCTGCTACCATTCATCCATGTTTTAAAACTTGCTTAAACCTAAATGTTCGGCTTAACAAAATTATTATGAAGTAAACACTAGTAATATAAAAGTAAAAACAGAGAATATTAATAGTGCCCCAGAAGCATCCATGGTCCCACTCACAAACCTTTCTCCTCCATTAAATATAATCACTATGATAATAATTTATTTGCTTTCCTTAATTCTTTAGCTACTTAACTACACATCTGTAAGCACTGTTGTTTACTTTTGCCTATCCCACTATTTACTGAAAAGATTATCATTTCCTCCACTGTTCTAAAGTTCCACCTTTGTCATAAAATCTGTGTATCTTGTATATTCCTGTTGTTCCAACCCCTTTCCTCCCTCCTGTTTCATTATATTGACTTATCTTTTATTTCACTATTTTTTCTTCAGCTGGATAAAATTTATTGTTCTTAATTTTAGTTATTGTGTTTTCAGTTCTGGGATTTTGATTTGGTTCTCTTTCAAGTCTGCTTCATTTTTTTTATAGTTTACACTTCTGTGCTGAAATTTTAAATCTTGCCTTTTATCTTATTTAATAGAGGAAGAATAGTTTGATAATTCCAAATTCTGGAGCTATGGGGATTGTTTCTATTGTCTTGCTTTTGCTGTTTAATTTTTGTTGTTATTATCTTATCTCTTTGTATAAGTGTTTTTTTTTTTTTTAATATGCCAGACATTATATTTTAAGAGTTGTACTGCAGTAAGCAAGACAGTGTGGTATTGGTGACAGAATATAAACAAAGATCAGTGGAACAGAATAAAAGCTCAGAAGAAGGACCACAAATAGCAGATTGATTTTTGACAAAAGTGCAGAAGCAATTAAATGGAGAAAGAATTGTCTTTTCAACAAACAATGCCATACACACACACACACACAAAACCCCACAAAAATAAACAAAAAAATTGACGTAGAAACAAACCTTACACCTTACACAGAAATGAAAAATGTATCATACCTGTAAATGCATAAAGCATATAAAAATTCTAGAAAAAAAATAGAAGCAAATCTATTTGACCTTTGGCTTAGTAATAAGATTTTAGATATGAAATAAGAGAATGATCCATGAAAGAAAAATAAGTTGGATTTTATTAAAATGAAGAACTTCCACCCTGCTAAATAGACTAAACGAAATTAAAAGACAAGCCACAAACTGGGAGAAACACATGTGTAGCATAAGGTACTGGGTTTTCAGCTTTCATCTTTAACTACAGCTTATTTTGGTGATATCTAAAGAAAATTAGAATCATCAAATTGACGTAGAAGCTTATTTAGAATGATGTATCTGAAAATGAGAAATGAAGTAGGTGAAAGATGAATCTACTTTTAAATAACCACATCTAGGTAAAATGATGTAACAGAATAGGTATATAGTTATATACAAATACTATTTAAATATTTCTAATATACATTCATATAGGCTGGAAAGCTGGTAGGTGCTAACAAAATACTTTCTTTTTGCTGTATATCCTGTGTTATACATTTCAAATAGCTACATACTTATTAATAAGTATATAAATTTTTTAATATACATTCA